GTTCTCAGCCGAATGATGTTGCGTCGAAACAGTACTTCCATTATGGACACAAACTCATCTATGTCCCCATTGCACTGCTCCATGACACGGGCAATGAGATGCAAGGTTGAGCGCTTGGTCATGGGAGTCGACATACTTGAATGGAAGCAGGGTCCTGTCTGGTTTATCCGTATCAATTTCTGGAATCCCAAAGTTTGGTTGGTTCCGAAAGTCGCATGAAATTCGACTTAGGTTGAATCTAATGCCAACAATTGTTACCGAAAACATTTATTTCAGATTCAAAATTTAGGTTTCAGATCTTGAATCTAATCTGAAATTTGGCCGACCGAAAACTCTTTAATTAGCCAAATTCATGGATAACAGAATCTTGCAATTCTGACAGCACCATCGGATTCAGGAGGGGGGTTTACACCGAGAACCCTCCCACCGACGACAACAAGCAAACGCACTACCAACATCACAATACGTACGAACGTGTATATATTCATTTACTCTTCCATGCATATTGGTTCTATGCCAATGTCGTGTAAGTCCCCAATAATGTCGTCAACGTCATCTTCACCAATGAGGGCGATACTTTCAAGTTGAGATGACAATTCACATAGGACCAATGCATCTTCGGCTTCATTTTCCAATTCTCGGTCCATAGCTACAACATCAACAGCACTCAGCAACGCGCGGGTCGAATTATACACATCACGTGGGCACTCGACGTTCCGAGGCAAGCTCCCTTGTCTGGCCAATTTGTCTTTTGACATGTGTGGAACCTTGTATGAGTTGTCGCCACCAACTTTGAGGGTCTCGATCAAGCAACACTACAAGGTCAAGAACGTCTTGTCAAGACGATCGTATGGATATTCGTCGAACGCTTCCAGTACGTGCATCACCAGCTCATCAATTGAACGCGCAGACTTTCGATGCTGTAGGGAGTGGGCGCGAGCGTTGTAGTGTTGAATGATGATGGGAATGTTCGACTGCGGCCATACCTTGACCACAGCAGGTAACACCTTGTTGATCAAGAAGGACCGGTACACATCTTTGGTCACGACCAAGGGTTTAGTTTCTGGCGTTCCTGCATGGCGGTTCGAGCTTGTGCGCTGTGCCAGCACTGTTTCGACAAACGACCACGTGCCAATATTGCCTGTCCACCATGTCCCGTCGTCCTCGTTGAACCGCGGCTGCGCAACGGCTGTGAGGAACATGACTTTGGTCAAAAAGCGTTTGCTCTTGCACTTTCGTTCGGGTTCACTCTCGCCGGGCACAAGATAGTACGTACGACTCGTCTTGGTGAGATAAAACCATTTCTCATCAATATGTACGTAGTTCAGAAGCTCATCAAGCTCCATATCTTGGCGCACAAAGCTCATCGCGAACTTTAAACGGCTGTACTTGTTTGCTGAGGTCAGCACAGGCTTTATGGCATTTGAGTGAGACCGGAATATACCCAGCTTGAGGTAGCGATGTAGGGATCCCCGGTTTATGCCTGTTATGTGAAATTTATTTAACAATGTAGTTTATACGAGATTATGTCAATGTATTCATACCAGTGTGAGCAGATATTGTGCGCAGTGTCGTACGATTAGCCAGAGGGACTTGCAAAAGCTTAGCTTTAACCTCAGCTGCTGTAAATGCATACTTTCGGCCAACCTTGCCTTTCTTTTTGCTTGAAACTGAAACGTTCATGTTGCCTTCGGCAACACCCTGGCTCTTTGCACGAGCGAGCACTTTGCGAATCGTTGCAGGTTGGATATTGTATTTGTCAACAAGATACTTACTAAATCCATTTGGAAGTCTTGCGGAGTAGACTCCATTGCTCTTTAGCAAGGTCTCACGAAGGATTGCTTCGTGCTCTTCGTTTGTCAGGTCCCGCCTTCCCGTCCCCATGATGAGTGAATGTATGCAATGAATGCATGCATTATTGTATATTTTGTATTGTTATTTTGAAACTTTCTTTTTGACACGATATTCCACGACTGTCCAATGGTAGGTAGATGAAACGAAAGCGTTTGGCGCGCTTGATCGTGTCGTCCAATCAGAACTTCATTATTCGAAGTTGGGAGGGAGTAATGTCGTTTTGAATTTTTCTCTGAAATATAATGACGTGTCATGTACCCCCTCCTACAAGTTGCGCCATTATTTTGGGACGGAGGGAGTACTACGCAGTGCTACCTCTGATTGGGAATATGTGCAGGCAGTGACAAAAAGTGGTGATGTTGGCCTCGGATATTGGCCTGAAAATGAGTGGTTTCGACTCGTGAGAGCCTGACGATTCCAGTGGTATTTTTGGATCAATTTTATTTGCACGCATACGATCGCAGCAGCAATGTCAACTCGCAATACAAACCTTACCAATGACCTACGCATGGCGCTATAGCAAGAGCTTCTTACAGTGAGCTCAAATGGGGTTCTTAAACGGCAGCAAATGGTAGATGTGTGCACACAGTTTGGCGTGCACTCGTCCACAGGGTGGCGCATCTGGAAACGGGGCAACGACAGCACGTCCCATGGCAAACCGGCGAACGTAGAGTCCCGCAAGCACCTCTCTGGGAACAAAACACGTTACACCATGGCCGATATCGAAGAACGCATCAAACGTACCCCCTTGCATCGACGGCAAACACAACGGCCTCTTGCAAGAGCAACAGGGTTGTCTCAATGGACGATTTGGAACTTCATACGGCAAAAGTGGATCACCGTTCGAACAAGTTGGTCGAAGCCCCGGCTAACAACGGAGCACAAGGCGATGAGGACAGCGTTTTGCAACATGCACCTGGATGTCAGTGGTAAACGTCAATACAATGACATGTTCAATGTTGTGCATGTAGACGAAAAATGGTTTTACCTCACGAAAGTGCGCCGCCGGTTTTACACTTGGCATGATGAGGCGGTTCCAACTCGATCGCTGCAGTCGAAGAGCCACATTACCAAGGTAATGTTCTTGGTGGCTGTAGCGCGGCCACGGCCCGGATGGGACGGCAAAGTTGGTTGTTGTCCCCTTGTTGAAGCGATCCCTGCCAAACGTGCAAGCAAGAACCGTCCTGCTGGAACGCCTGTGCTCTCCACGGTGACTGTCAAACAACCAGAAATCCCGAACAAAAACATCTTGCGTCAACTTGTTTATTTTCAACACACAATGGAAAGGGCTCTCCCGACCGTGTCTCGACGCGAATCGTTCGTCGAGGCGGACCATGCCGCATTCATCCTTCGTCATGCTCGTTGCGATCGAGTCGCAATAGATAAAGGAATGCAGAAGCAATGCACGTCGCCTCTGTATTCTGTGCACGATGCTCGACAAAGAGATTTGGATTGTTGTCGGCCAAGGGTGATGATGTTCACCGATGCGCTTGTATCTCAAACTGCATGGGGGACGGGAGTCCCTCTCGGCAATGCTGCTTCAAGTGAAAAAAAAAACGTTTTTTTGAGCTACGTTTTTGCAATACAGCTCGCCTGATATTTTGCTCATCGAGGTATTTTTATCATTCATTTGACATTTGTATAGTGGGAAATCAATTTAAATCCTTTGCTGCCCAATTTTTAAATACTTTGAACGGAATGTCGTGGCCAGAGTGACCAGTGTTGGACACCCACGAGGTCAGGCAGGACATGGTTCAGTGCAAAATTTCAACATGGCGAGGGAACCTCGGACGCCGACGGCGACATCCTACGAGAGCGGCAATGCCAAGCACGAATGCAACGACGTGTTCTTCCTGCTCATCTTCCTCGGTGTGTTCATCATGACGCTTGTGTTTGGAGTGAGCTACGGCGGAACGCTCGTGGACATCACCAAGGCCAAGGACCTGAGCAATTCGTCGGGGTTCAAGCTCGTGCTCGAGTACGCAATGTATGCGGGCTCGCTGTCGACGCTCTTATCCATCTCATGGATTGTCGTGCTCATCTTCATGGGCGAGTTCATGATCTGGTTCACTCTTGTTTCGATGATCTTGGCGTGCATTGTCGCCGCGATTTTCATGACGACGCGGCTGCACGACCTCGGAGACAAATACTACTGGTGGCCGGCCGCTGTATTCGGGACCGCTGCGTTGCTTTTGGGATTGTACGCGTACTGCATTCGAGTAAGTTTCGTCGCCGTCGGTGCGTGATTCCTAACCGTCAGGACTGGTAGAACCGAGTGAAGTTTGCAGCGAAGCATCTCAAAGTTGCCGGGAGCGCCTTGTTCCGCCTCCCGTTGGTCTTTATCGTGACGATAGCGATGGTCGGGGTGCAATTGGCATGGGGCGTCGCGTGGGTCGCAGGGACGTTCGGCCTCCTGAACAAACTCGGTTTCATCAACGTACCAGCCGCGTGCACGGACAACCTGGCCTCGACCGCTTGCAAAGTCGACGTGAAATACGGTGGCGTAGTCGGGATGTTCTTCGTGATGCTGTTTGTGTTTTTTTGGGGCGCGTTGGTCGTCGAAGGCATTGTGGCGGTCACGGTCGCGGGAACTGTCGGAACTTGGCGCAACAACGTTGCCGCGCCGTGCATCACCGTTTCGGCGTGGCTTCGCGCGGCGACGCTCAGTCTTGGGAGCATTTGCTTTGGGTCGTTGGCTGTTGCGATCTTGGAAACGATTCGTGCGTTCGTGGGGATGGTGCAGTACGTTGCCAAGGTCGAAGGCAACTGTGTCGTGAGCTGTATCGCTGGGTGCCTTCAATGCATCCTGTCGTGCATTCAGAGCTGGATGGAAATTTTCAACCGCTACGCGTTTACGTATGTGGGTCTCCATGGGTTCAGCTTTGTCACGGCCGGCCGCCACGTCACCGACATGTTTGCGTCGAAAGGGTGGACCGCCATTGTGAACGACGATCTGGCGCACTGGGTCTTTTTTCTCGGCAATCTCGTAGTCGGCGCCCTCTCTGCGTGGATCGGACTTCAGTTCGTTACAGTCGACGTTGCCGCCAAGGTGTTTCCCGGTGTTGCCAAGCCCGAATACTTGGTCGTAGTCAGCGCCTTCTTGATTGGGTACATCGTGAACAGTGTGTTCATGACGGTCATGTCGGCGGCGGTCACGACCGTGTTTGTGCTATGGGCTGAAGACCCTCAAGGGTGGCAACTCACCCATCCGGACCACTACGCTCGGCTCCATGCGGCATGGCTCGAAGTGTACCCGAATGAATACAACGACGGCCGCGGGAAACCGCAGCAACAGTCTGCGGCTGTGTAATGACCTCGCACAGCATCCCGTTCGATTTTTAACTGCGTTTGAATCCAATAACGTACTCCTGCTTTGCCCTGGATTCCGTGACGTGTTTCACCGACGACGATGTGCATGCCATCGTCGACTTTTGCATGGCCACTCTCTCTCTCCACTGAAAATTTGCGGGGTTCGTGAGCTTTCGCAGCTTCCCCATGGCAGCATAACGTCCCTGGCAAGGTCCTTTTCCAGGACACTTCGTCGTGAAAGCTTGCATTGCTTACGCCAGACACCCGCGTTCTGTCGACACGACCCAGCAACGAATTGCAACAATACCAACCTTTCGTTCCAGCAACAAGGACCCACAAGGTAGCAGTCATGTCGGGCAACGACAGCGACAAGATACGACAGTTCGCTGTGTACCATGCCCCACGTGCGTGGATCGGGAAATGTTCTCGAGGCATCGTGTTCGTTCGAGATGGCGCAGTCGGCATGCACCCTCTTGCAGGACAGCTCGACTTGTGACCTGTATATATGAATAACCTTCTTCCCGTATATTACTACGTACTACTAGTATTTAGTAAGCGTTCGGAACACTTCGTTCACGTGAGAAGAGTGTTGGTTGTGTTGGTTGGTGTGTGTGAACAACATGCGTGAACGTTCAAACCACCTTCGCCATTTTCTTCTGTGTCCAGGACGTCCAGGCAGCCCACCAATTCCTGAACCCTAACATATAGAGACAACAAAGGCACTTAGATGCATAACTAACTATCGTAGAAGAAACCCATAGACCACACACGAAGACTGCACCACGCGTACCTTCTCGCATCTCATCCTCGAATCCATCCACTGTAGTACATTCCCACAACGAGGCACGATTAGTCATATTATTCCCGCGTAGTACTGTCACCACATGGAAGTGTGTGTCCGTCCGTGGCTGGCACAAACTATGCTCGATATTTGGATTTGCTCCTCCGAATGGGCAGAGCACCCAAAATCGGTACTGTATCAAGTCTTCGACATCCCCACGCACGAACGCCACCATTCAAGTAAAAACCAACTCACGGGATGTCGTCCCTCCACCTCGTTACCACAAACACCATGGGACGGCATGACGGGGCATGTAGTCGTCGATTTTCCCCGTGTCCGCGGCGTTTGAAACACGTCCCTGCACCAAAATTAGGAATACTATTGACATGTCGCGCTTACTACTGCGACATCCGGCGACGTTCTGAACGCAATTACAAGCATTCTTCCGACAAACATTCAGTAAAGTCTTCTCGGATTGGTCGAAACGACCTGGGCTGTTTCGACGTGTTAATTTTATTCGTATTCTCGTATTGGAGTGCCTCGCGAAGAAGGTCGGTCGACGGCAGGAAGAGGAGCGCGAGAGGGCCGTACGTGGATGGTAGCATGCGATTAACCGACATCAACCAGCAGCAGAACTCCCACTCGACGACAAGGAGTTGTGGAGGACCGACCCCCATCGGTCTTTCGTCCTCGTCGTCCGCCGCCAACCCTGCCGCCTCGCCGTCGTTGAGGTGGCCGCCGCCGCTTGGGTTGTTGTTGACTCCCCTTGACGACAGTTTGCAACATCCTTCTAGTGCGGCAGCACCTCTTTGTCGACCACACCACATATTCTTGGCGGCCAACCTCACCTCGAATACCCACCAACAGTCGACAAGGGCACCTCCGCAATGCACGCACACGTCGTCGCCGTCCGTGTTCGACGCCTCAGCGGGTGGACTGGGTGCGGTAGAAAACCTCCCACGCAAAGTGACGACCGGGTCTTCGCCGAGCGGGAAGCCTCCTGTCGACAACCCATTTGATGCGTGGTTCCGAACAAACAAGCCGACAAGGAATCCTCGCGCTGCTCCACGTCGTTCGGTGTCTGCAGTCACTTCATCTGCATTTCCCGCGTTCGGAGACTTTCCTCCGCCGCCACCGTCCGCGTTCACATCGTCATGCCCATCGATGACGAGCATTGGCGGCGACAGCACCGACAACGAAGACGACATGGACGAGCATTCTCCGTCCGCACAATTGAATACGTCCCCGTCGTATGACTTGAAGCGGCAAAAAGCGGTCGAAGACGCCCAGCGGCACTTTCGGTGCATGGACGTGGCATGCATGCTGGACATGGACGACGCCGACGTGATGCCTCCGCCGGTACTCGTTCGCGCGCAGGCTCAGATGCTGCTCCATCACGAGGAAGTCGCGCTGACGTGTCGAAGATGCGGCGCCATCGAGCACCTGGCCATCTCCTATTAAGTTATTCCACCAGCCGAGTAGTCCGCTAATAAGTCAACGAACACGTGCCTCCACCGCCACATACATGTCATTGGAGTCGGCGGTGCACGGACCTGATCGACTCCGTGGTCGGGGAATAGAAGGATGTCACGGGAATGGCTGCCTGAAAGGGGTTCGTGGAGAAGGGGAGGAGCAATCGCCGCCTACACGGTCGACCTTAACTGTGAGAGGAAGGCTGGTCTAGGGGGAACTATCCCCCTGAAAGTGGACAGAAGAACGTTCGGCACGGGGTGAGAGGAGTTCTGAGGATGTCCATCGTTAAATGATGCTTCACGGCACGACATGGTGCACCGACGTGGCACCGACAAGAAGGTTCTTGTGCACTGAGCTGCCTCTGCCCTACACAAGATGGTCGTGGCCTCTCCCACCAGGTGAACGCCACCTGCTGTTCCGACACCTCGACCCAGTTGGTTGGACAGCTTCTACTTAAAGAACGTCAGGGCAAATCGCTCCACGACGGAATCTCATTGACGTGTCATGCGCTAAGTTGCAGCGACTGAGCGAAGCTCTTGTCCCTTGGGATTTTAGTCGCTCCTGCATGGACAAGGCGTATTGCGACACCAATTTGTTCGCCACCACAGCCTGACGTGCTCGAAAGACGCATTCCGGGAGCGTCACTGCCTAGCAGTTGAGCTCCAAAGGCGTTGGCCGTGGCGACGCCCATCGCTGCCGACCCGATGACCGCAGCAGAACTTACAGTTACTCACGGCAAAGGCACTCAATGATTGGCTAAAATGAATTCATTTTGCGTTGTGTGATTGGTCCATTTGTGATCCCATCCCGCACTGCGTTGTACAGTTTTTCGCGCAGTGACCGTCTGGCGACATATCCCTCACGTGACTTGGATCCGCGACGGGCGAGCATCCTCGTCCGTCCTTAGATAATCCATGAAGGCCTACTGCATGATCAAGATGCTCGTGGTGCTTGCCGCCGCCATGACGTGTACGTGGAGAGAGTGAGGTATCGGTAACGTAGCTGCTTCGTTCGCGTAGGTGTGGCACAGTCGTCGACGCAGTCTCCCACAGTCACGACAGCGAGTGCACCGACGACACAATCCAGTCCTACTACGTTAACTCCGGTCACACCACCGCCGACAGACACTACATCGACCCCTCCTTCGTCCACGTCGGCTACGACAAAACCATCACCAACGACGTCAATACCTCCCGCTACCTCGAACCTCCCAACTACACCTGTGATTCCCATCAGCGTCAAACCAGGCTCGTCCGCGCCTACAATCCCTCCGAACGGAGGCTCTATCATCTCGTCCATTCCAACGCCACAGATTCCATCCTCCATGGACGAACTCGCGCAATCGTTGACGCCAACCACGACTCACCGTCCATCACCCAACTCGTCGTCGAATACAACGTCCACCGACACGTCGTCTCCAGAATCTTTCTTCCGTATCGACAACGGCGCGATGTGGGGTGCCTTTGCCGGTGCAACGTTCATAGGCGCCGTCATTGTCGTGGTCCTCCTCCGGCAATCCAACAATCCCCACAACGGCGACCGGTCGTCCAGTCCATACTCCCCGGCCCGGCCAAAGCACACGGTACAAGGCCTCTCTCCATGCTTTTATATCGTGGCATTTTATCTCGTCCATGTCGTGCCACGTTTTTGCGTTCGTCGTGCGTCATGTGTGATAACATTTTCTTTTCCACATATCGGACTGTTTCGGCGTGTGACTTTAGTAAAAGCGATTTTTGTGTTACTTGGGTCGAACCCACCCAAATATTTCCAGCGTTGCAATCGTTTGTGACTTTTCGCACTAGCCGTTCTGCGTGGTGATTAAGTCTGGTCGGATTTTTATCGATTCCCGTCGAAGGCGTTGGTTTTCCTGGCGAGCTTCATAGGGGACGTTGCATTGCTCTCACATGGACTGGGATTCTTTTTTGACGTCATGATGAAGCTGTCGCGGGATGTCCAGTCGCCGTCATGACACAGTTCAAGGCGCTGCAGTACCTCTTGGCCATTCATGCATCAAACATGGCCGAGTTGCTTGACTTTTCACGACTTGATTTACGCGGACGAAAATCTTTTTTCATGTTTTGAGATTTGGACGTGGTGCAAGTTTGGCGACGATTGGATATTTGTTTCGCCTGTTTGAATTCTTTTTCCATGGTTTTTTTTCCAATATTGCATTGCAGGATTATATTCCATTCTTCACGCCACCCCCCCCCGTATTTGATCGAGTTGATGGCTCAAGGTGATGTATACATGTAGAATGGCAACAGCGCCGCGGACAAGCGGCCGTGGCAAACTCCTGGCGTCGTGCAAACATTAGAGCCCAGTTGCGCGCCCCCGACCATTCCGGTCACTGTCAAGTCGGTGCCGCATGCATATCCGCCTCCGCCGCCACAACAATCGTCCCGTCAATACACCCCACCGTCACAGCAGCACTCGCCCATGTACCACGGCAATGCTCAAACGCCGATGGCTAGAGTCAACCGCAAGCAGTCGGCGGTGCCGATGTTGGAACCGACATATCGTGGTCGAGGTGATGACGAAGACGGCTATGACAACCACGACCGATACTCGTTCGAATCGGACGACATGAATATTCGCCATACCGCACCAGGAGACAAGATTCGCAGTCAAGGGGGACGCCACGAGAACTGGGCCACTGGCATGACCTCACACAAACGAAAAGTGTCGGTCGCGGACTCGGAAGGCGACATTGGCGACGCCCGCATGAGTTATGCTAGCACGGCCATGTTTGAGCGCGATTCGACCGCCACGAGCCGTTATTCGAATTCGTTTACGGGTGGCCCGCCGCCGATGGTTCCAGGGCAACCATCGCGACTGCCGGTCCGCGACTCGTACGAACTGTAGGGCGAAGAATGATCCCGTATTTAAGTGGTTGTCGAGTGGAACGGTTCGAGCACGGCAGTCCATTCTGGTACAGCCCTCAACACCGAACCATGTCGTGAGTTGTACGAGTGGCTACAGAGTGCATCCATGGAAAACTGAATCGGGTGGCGGCGGCTGGGGAATTGTAGCGGTTCGGGAAACCGAACGAAGCGGCTCGAGACCCGCCGATGTGGCTGGACGAGTTTTGTTGCAACACGTCTTGCCGTCGGCCCGGCAACAAGCCATTGTCGAGAGACATGCACGATAGCATGAAGCGTGCGATTCAGTGGATGCGAAGACGACAGTGCGATTGCCCGGTACGTGTATTTTTACTTGGTGACGGTGCGATCCATCACATAGTTTCGCGGGCCAATCAACTGAACTTGCCGATCGTAACGAGGTTGGAGAGGTCTTGCATTCGGCAGCGGGAACACGGCAGTGTACTCGGTCCATTGAGCGAGCGACATTGATTGCACTTGGTGATGAATTATCCATTCGATGCCTTCGGTGAACGGTGCCGTCGTGAGCGACCCAACATATCGGAGGAACAACGACTGCGCATGTAGACGCAGCGACGACAGATCCACATGGAGGCTTCCGTGCCGTGGATCGTGACCATATTTCAGGTGTGGCCACAACTGTGCTAGGAAAGGGTGTGGCACGTGGTCCACGTCAAAGAGAACAGCGACAACGGCGGTGACGTGGCTGTGGTTGGCAGGATTCGCCAAAACAATATGGAGTTCAAACGGGTACTGCCTTCCGTTGAGCCAGTGTTCGCTGGGACGATGAAAATGGCATTGGATGGCGGCATGCGTCGCAGCTCCATTGTCCAGCGAGACATACAGCGGTGGAGTCGACCACGATGTAACGAGGGTCGTGGTGGTCGCTGTCGACGTCGCCAACGGTTGAGCGGATGCTGCAGCAAACGAGAGCAAGGCGCCATCTCGGTTGAGAACGTACGGGACGTCGCTGCTTAGTTTGATCGGCGACTGCAGCTCTTGAGCTGTGAGTATCACAGGCAGGACGAACAGAGCTGCCGCCCACAAGCATCGCCATACCATTGGATTCAATCGGCACGCAAGATATCGGACGGTTGCCGAATTACCTTATTCCAGTCTATATCCACGAAAAGTATCCTGTGGATTGTACTTGATTCCTCAATTTTCCAAAGTACCGATTGGGTACTTTTGAAACAAAAAGTTCTCAGTGCCTTATATGCGCCGCAGTTAGTCGAACACGGTGGACACCACACAACAGCACGTATCTCTGCAGAACTCACTTCGTTGCAGTAAGTGCATTTCATTCTTGGTAGTACGTACGTATGGAATGCTTTGCTGCAGCACGAGTCGCTGCCGTTGGATATGTTGGGTGTCGCAAAGGGAATATATCATCGAAAGCGATGAATTGTCACACACAATTTTAATCGACTAGCGGGTCATTTCTACGTGATGGAGTCGACCAAATCAAAAACGCTTAGACGTTGGCGGCAACGAGCTTGACAGAGCGGCCGTTCAACGGCTGCAGCGGACGCGCGTTCGGGTGGTGAATCACGCTCTCCCACGCCTCCAACTGACTCAACGACATCGTGTGCACTTCTTGCAGCACGCTCCACTCGACGCCTTCAGTGTATGGCTCCGTCGTCAGCGAGCCTGGGTAGCGGTACACGTTGCTATTGGTCACATCGAGCGACGACGGGTCAAGCGAATCCAGCGTAAACGAGTCGCCGGGACTCGCCAATTGGCTGAATCCACTGAAGTATTGGTCCAAGAACGGGTTGGGTTGATCGTTCGGGTCCAACTCGAACAAGATGCCAACGACGGCCAAGTTTTTGTTCTTGTCTTGGTGCACAAAGTGCACTTCGAAGGGGTAGCGCACGCCGCGGATCGTGTGCTCGCTGGGGGCGTGCGGGTGAAACTGCACCGAGTTGTACTCCTTGCCGTTCAGGTTCAAGAACGAGCCGACGCCGCCGTTCCACGTTGCCTTGACGGTGTGGTTTTCATGAGAAACGACGGCGGGGGCAGTATCGAGCTGGATGGAGAAAACGCCATTGTTGGGCACGACGGGCAGGTAGGGGAGGTTGATCGGGGACTGGCGAGTTTGGGCCTTGAGCGCGAATTCAGGGGTAGTCGTGCCTGTCGCGAGCGCAATCAACGCAGTTACGAGTACGGGGAGGAACTTCATGATGCTCAATGGAGGCAAATTGAATTGTGATCGACGGGGTCGACATTGAGGGCCGCCGCATCTTGGGGGGCCTGTTTAAGAGGGTGGGACAGAGTTCGTTTATGTGCAGCGTAAAAGTAGACAATTCTCTGAGAAGGTGTGGTGGCCCGGCGGCACGAATTATGGCAATCGTTTTTGCTAGCAACATGCATCTTTCATTCGTAGTCTCCTCGCTTGTAAAAGGTGTGTGTGCTGGGGGTTCCTTCTACAGTGCTGGTATTCGCTTTGCATATCGCCACGCGATGTACAACAGCTCTCAAGCAAGAGGGGGGCATACACGGACAGTGTGCATTCAAGAACGACGGTGTCATTCGCAGATGGCGGGCTTGGATGGTCGATGGCCGGCCGCGTATAGAAGTGCTCAACAGCCTGGATAATATTGGTACGAATACCTCTCGAATGCGCTTGTCGTTCACTGAACTTGACAGGTCGCGACCGCCGCAGTGGCCGCCTGACGGATACTAATTCGGCAACGTGAAAGTGGATGGCGAGTGCACGTGCCCGAATTGTATGGTGGGGCCTTTCCTGTCTACAACATGACACATCTTCAGACAACCTGGACCAAGACAATCGAGCTTGTTGTGGCAATGAGTGGTAGTTGCGGATATTCATTGCTGTGCAATCCTCCGCACGCTCGCTTTACAGCATGTTGTCTTGTTGATCGTCGAGATTTCCGTACGAAGGCGTCTGAATTAGTGCGACCAGAAGTTGCGGTCGACCAGTGCGGCCGGCCATCCACACCGGATGCTGTCGACCCGTTCGAATCGACAAATTTTGCAGCGGCTGGCGAATTTGTTGACGTCATGCGGCACACGAGCGCCTCCACTCCCGTGCCATTCCGATCGGTGTTTGTTTTATGAGAGGCCGGCTAGTGTCTCGACGACAAGGCGAACGTGACGATGGCACGAGTCCATCTTGTGTACGACCGTTTATCGAAACCTCTTGACGTCAAATTCGCCAAACGATTCGCGTCCACCAGTTTTGAAACTCAGGGAGGGCGTCGTCGTGATGAATGTAGTCTGGATGGTCGACGAGGGAAAAACCGGACAGCAACATAAACGTGGTGGTGGGTCCGTCTACTCTCGCCAGAAGAAGCAGGGTCAGCCACGGCTCTCCCCGGACGAACCCAGTGTACGAACGTGTCATATGTGCAGGCATATGGCATCGATCACATGTATGTCGTTGTAGCGCACGCGAGGCAGCGGTACAGAACAACCGATTCAAGTTGCCCGTAGAGTCGGCGAGGTTTTGTGCCGTTGTCGAACCTGCTCCACACAGAGTACAAGCACGGCACAGCCTATGGCCACGAGCTATCGCTAGGACGCTGGGCTCGTATGGGCTAGACCAGGTAAACTGCTGCCGATGCAACGACAACAGCTTGAAATTTTCACCCACTTGAAATTCACACCACCATTCGCCGTTGGCGATGCATCGACGTGATGTACCTGCAAACTACTTGCAGACAAGCTCTACAGTCGTACGAAGCATTGCGATGAAGTTCGTTCTCACGTTGGTGGTCGTTATTGTGCGGTTGTCGACGGTACCAAGCGCAACATTTCGCTGAACGGGCCATTTATGGACCCAGACAGAGCAATATCCAGTGCTTGCGCCGCCTAAAATTCCGGTGGTCTGGCTACAGCGCCGAGGGAGAACAAGAGTGACAAGACAGCGTTGTAGCTTGATGTGGTTTCCAAGGGCAATTGCCACCTGAAATTGGTCGATGTATGGCATTCCACCATGACTATCAACGAAATATCTCAAAACCAGCCCTCGTACTCGGGGAACGTCTTGACAAAGTCTTGCACGCATAAAGTGTGTACGCCTGACCCTCCCCCAAAGCTACGTCCCCAAAGGGGGGGCGTGCCATTCGACCCGCCTAGTCGCCCCTTTCAAGGGTACATGTAAAGACTCGGCACTGATATGCCGCCTCCGTATAGTCCTGTGCGCCAACGTGAACTGGGTTTGGATTTATTCTTATCAGTGATGTGCGCCACCGATGTTGGTTTGTTTCCCACGTGAAGCAAGCAGGTCGCGCGGTCATCTCGCACAAGCGATTGCGGGCAATCGTTGTGGCGCACGCTACCGACCGAGCTTTATCTCGAAGACTCAAGCTTCTATGGCGCTCGGCTGTGGAGCAGTGCCGCGGTGGCACCATATGAAGGTACACGGCCGGCACATGTCGCAATTGATCACAAACTCCGAATTTCGCCGTGGGGTCTGAGATCCTCAGATTAAGATCTGAGGTGGATGTCGAGAAAAGTTCCGAGGCAATGCACCGGCGTTGTGCGCGACGTAAACGACAACGTGCATGTTGTGGAGGTAAGGCACGGCAGGAAGAGGTAGGGGCAATTCCATCGTGTTGTTCTTTTGTCGAGATGCTACTAAACCCCATTTTTCCAGGCCTTATTGCCCTCGGCAGACTTCGAGCACCGTAGCCGCTAACAGGGGGACCTACGGGGTGTTGTGCCAGTGTACGGTTCGGGCAGCCAGGCGACTGCCGACATGGCGTCTTTCTCCACGTGAAAGCATGCACCTCTGACAGGGCTCGTGGAAGTGTACAACGAAAATCATGAGAACTGGCCTGTCTTGCACAATCCGGAGTCAATTATATCAGTCGAAAGTTCATGTTTATGCCAACCTACATACATGGCACTGAGTTGGTGCGACGAAGCGGCCGAGAAACGCCGCGGCCACGACTCCTATACCAGTCAACGCATCTCGTCACGAATGGTCTGCTTGCCGGCCTACCGTGAGCATGCCATTCGTGGATCATGATTTCTATCCCGCCTCCATGCTCTCCCGATGGCTCAACCCATACGGTCGCCGAAAAGGTGTCAGTTCGCATGTGGCAATGCTATGCCACACGTCCTGAGTTGACCTCTGCCGTGGCACTTCTCGCCAATCGGTCGAATCCATATAGGCTTGAGGGACCACCCTCAGATCACAACGCAACTTACCTCGTTTGAGCGTCATGAAATTCCTTCCCGTACTCATTGCTGCCGTGGTCGCGCTCTCATCGGGAGCGACCACCCCGAAGCCCGTGCCCCAGCTCCGCCAGTCCCCGATCAACCTCCCCCGCTTGTCCGTCGTGCCCAACAAAGGCAGCTTCTCCATCCAGCTCGATACTGCCCCCGCCGTCGTTTCTCATGAAAACCACACCGTCAAGGCGACTTGGAACGCTGGCGCCAAGTCGTTCTTGAAGCTCAACAGCAACGTGTACAACTCGGTGCAGTTTCACCCGCACGCCCCCAGCGAGCACACGATCGGCGGCGTGCGCTACCCCTTCGAAGTGCACTTTGTGCACCAAGACAAGAACAAAAACTTGGCCGTCGTTGGCATCTTGTTCGAGTTGGACCCGAACGATGAACCCAACCCGTTCTTGGACCAATACTTGAGCGGATTCAGCCAACTGACCAAGCCCGGCGACAAGTTTATGCTGGATTCGCTTGACCCGTCGTCGCTCGATGTGGCCGATAGCAACGTGTACCGCTACCCAGGATCGCTGACGACGGAGCCATACACTGAAGGCGTCGAGTGGAGCGTGCTGCAAGAAGTGCACATGATGTCGTTGAGTCAGTTGGAGGCGTGGGAGAGCGTGATTCACCACCCGAACTCGCG